CCCCAAAACCCCAAAACCCCAAAACCCCAAAACCCCAAAACCCCAAAACCCCAAAGCTAATATATTTTATTTAAATCATATTATTCTTACAAATGTCAAGGACGACTAAAGATCTCATTGACATGATCAAATCACAACGCAAGAAGGATGAACGAGGAGGTAAGCACTTCAATGACGACCTTATAGACCCTAATGATGATCTCTACGAGTATAGTAGCTCTAAGAAAACCAAGCTTGAGACCCCCTCAAAAATGGCAAAGACTATTGAAATTCTCAACCAAAAGGTTGAAAAGCTTGAAACTGACAGAACAAAGTTAATTTAAAAAAGTCGAGCGTTTAAAGCGAAACTACGAAGGCCTTTCATTTTCGACTAAAAATGAAAAATCTGAGTTTGTCAGGTAAGAAATTTCAAACTTTCATTTAAACCATTCTAGCTTGAACCATGAAAATACTCAGTTGAAGAAGGAAATTGATGCCCTGAGACTTAATAATAACGAACTTGCTTCGAGAGAAGAGCAATATAGAGAGGCCGTCAAGAAACTTCATGAACAAACCCAAGATTTAGAAGAGAAACTTAACAAAAAGATGCATGAGCATAAATTACAAGTAGAAGAAACCCGCAAGCAGAGCAAGAAATTTGAAGACAAAATAAAAGAAATGACTACATCCCATAACAATGAGAGGGTAAAGCGTAATGATGAAATCAAAAGGCTTAAATCACAGGTTAAAAGCCTCATTGAGGAAGCCTCAACGCCTGCCAATGAAAACCTGATCCCTGAAGATGAAATTAACGAACGTGCGAATGCCATGGCAGAGCAGTTAGCTAAAGAAATTAGCGTGAAAGTTACTAAAGAAAGGCAAGATTTCCAGTCACAAATTGACCAGCTCAGGGAAGAACTCTACATGGCTCAAAAAGTAATTGACCAGAACACCTTGGACTTTGAGAGGAAGAAGACAGAACTTCAAGAGCAGATAACCGACGAACATAAGAAAACTAATGAAGCGAAAGGTAATATCACCTACTAATCCTACAGAGGTAAAGGAGAAAACTGCAAAGCTTGAGGAGAAGATAGACTCTCTCAAGAGAGAACTTGAAGCCTCAAACTTGATTATTGACAACAAGGAAGCAACCATTAAGAAGAAAGATGCAGAAATAGAGCTTCTTGAACGAGAGAAAGAAGACAAAAATACTCAATTAACCAAGATTCAGAGTGGCACTAGTCAAGAAATGAAGGAACTACATGATACCATCAAAGTTCTGGAAGATGAAAGAAGAAAACTCCTTCTCGAGAAAAGTGAGATTGAAAGGGCCCGTGATGAAGCACAGAAGAAATTTACTAAGAATAAGTCTGATCTAGATAACATCGTTGAGCAGTATAAAAATAACCAAGATGAGCTAGAGACGACTCTGAGAGAAAGGATTAAGGAGCTTGAGGATGATAATAGGATGATAAAGACCAGATTTGAGGATGAGATTAACGAAGAAAGATCTAATAATGAACAACTTTCAAGTAAGCTAAGAAAATTAGATGACCAAATAAGCCTTCTCGAGAAGCAACAAAGTGATTTCCTGACTTTTAAAGATACAATTATTGTAACTGCTAAGAAGATGCTGAAGAATTTTGAGCCAATAGAGTCAAACCTGTCTTGTCTCTCATGCTTAGAATTCTTAGAAGACCCTCTTATGCTGATCTGTGGTCATTCAATATGCCTAAAATGCTTCAAAACCCATTCCGATCCTCAAAGCAAGGACTCAATTGTCTTCTGTGAAGAATGTCGGGTTGAGACTAAGAATAAGGAGCTCATGGAATCCAAGGTGATAGAGATACTTTGAGAAAAGTTCAAAGCTTCTAAAAAGAGTGTGAGTCAGATCATGGACTATGCTACAAACCTTAGAATAGAGTAATGCTTCAATTTCAGGCCTCTTCGAGGGGTTTTGGGGTTTTGGGGTTTTGGGGTTTTGGGG